ACTTCTAAATGATGATTAATGGTTACGCAGACAACATAAGCTATTAGATGAATGAATGAGGGCACAAAAGCTGACTTTCCCTGTTTATCACTACAGCCCAACCTGGCCACTGGCTACATTCAAACAAAAATTTAAACAATATTTTTCTGTCAGCAGATTTCTAAATTTGCAGCAAAAAATATGCATTTTTGATAGGAGCTGTGGAAATGTAGTGTCAGCCACAAATGACACAGGGGATGTTAAAATAAACCAAACAGGAGCTTTATTTGTGTACCTTTCTGTGCCAAGACTACTGACTGAACTTGTGCACAGCACCATCTCTGTTAAATGATAGTAGTCCAGGGGGTCCCCAAATACAGGACAGGAGGTGGACGTGTCCACAAAGAATTTTACTTAAAATTTTATTTGGGCTGTGTGAATGAGATTTTAAATAAGTATTTCAGTGTTTTTACCACTCAAATGCTGTTATTTACTGGGTTGGGGCTAGGAAATCCTGTTGTGTAGTAATTCAGGATTAAATGCTGTAGTCTTGCTCAAATGTGATCATAAAGATATTTTTCATTTAAAAAACAGTGCATTTTGTTATAGCTATAAGTGGACAAAAGCCTCTTAATCCTAATCAGCCAAAAATATGTCATCCCATAAATGGAGGGTTGAGAAGAGAAGTCGAAAATCACTATTTCCAGAGCGAACGCACTTTCCAATTGTCATTACTGATGTCTGGTGAGAGAAACAGCAGCTGCATCTTCCAACCAATGAGTGTAAATATCATGTGCACAATCAGTGGCTACGGCTCCTCCATGATAGTAGACACTCACTCTCGTTCATACAGCTGAAGTATTGTCGTTACAGTGGAGGAACTTTCTAGTTTGCAGGTTGTTGATTTATTGATAGGTCCCCTGTTAGCACTGTCCAGTCTTGCTGAAGGTGTCCTCTGATGCCACAGTTACTGATTTTACTGGTACTGCCAGTGTTAGCAGTGTGTTTTGTTTGTAAAATTAGAGTTGGAAACAACTCTGCTTTCATGTAAAGCCTTCAATGGAACATAGCCTTTAAGATCTGTATTTGAACAAGAGGGCTACAGTCACAGAGTCATAACACAACACAGTGTGTGAGCAGCTGGGCTCCAGTCAAAATCAAAGTGACCATTCTGACTGCCAAGCTTGTAACAGCTGTGCACTCCAATACCTGCGTGGCTGGTTAAATGGCATTTTGATGAAGGCTATCTAGCTGAACCACAGTCAAAAAACTGGCACTGCAGATATAACAAGTGTTCACTGTTCACTTTACCAAACTTGCACACAGCAGTCATTTAAATGGCCTGTTAACTTCTGAAAACTTCTGCAGGTTATGGATAATGTCTGTTTATGTCATCACACCAGTGCTGTAAAAAGAGCTCAATGGGGTTAAAGGGCCTTAACAAAAGATCAGACTTTGATCTGATTTAACAGTCAAGACAGATTCATTATAATACGCCTTGATCAGCTCTGGTAATATTTCAGATCGGATTGGGACATTCATAACTACATCACACAGTGCTTTAACTGGCATGTTTGACATTCTGGATCTAAATCTCTTTGACAAAGGAATTTTTCAAAGGTACTTGACACTGCTTGTAGCTTTATAAAAGTTTTGGGATGTTTCCACATAAATCATATATCATAAATAAGAAACAACAGTAAGCAGCTTCCAAAGAAAGCAGAGCGATTTAAAAAACAGAACATGATGAAAAGAAAACAAATTACCAGGAACCTGAAATCTTAACGTAAATTTGATCTGCATTTTTCCACAGACATATATATGATAAGGTAAAGGGGGACGAGTACCATGACCTAGCGTTATTTTCTTAAGCAGCCGCGTTCACGGAGCAGGTCGGAAGCCCAAATCTAAAATCTGGTAAATGTATGTCAAGCAAGCGAACAGGACACGAAAAGGGGGCTTATGAGAGCAATAGAGTAGAAGGTTAAAGAAACACTAAATCTAAATTGTACATTTCTAGACAGATGTAGTTAGATACCGCGGCTCCTTGGTGGCGGTTTCTAATGAATAATGTAAAAGCCTCCCCGATCTTCTCCGTTTTCTAACAGACCAGGCTAATTTGTATTTGTTGACTCTTGCCATTATCACAAAACCTCATCAAAAACCACTGGAAGCTAACTGTAATCAATCAGGTATTCTTTTCATTATTGGGGTTAGAAAAATAGTCAGGGTTCACTTCACAAGCTCTCCCCTTTTCAACGAATTTTAAATGCAGGAAATATAATCTAATATTAAACATATGGCACAAGTTATGGGAAAACAGCACTGCATGTCCAGACGGATGGCACTAAGAGAGTGGATCCTTTTCATTCTAACTACAGCAATAAAACTAAACATTTACGTAAGAAAAAATAAACCTGCATGGTTTTGGAGCTGAATGCATGTGTCTGACGCTACAGTGGAAATAGATCATGCTGCACTGCTAACAGCGTGAGGTGACTAACAGCATTTCCAGTAAAAAAAAAGTAACGAAAATGACAGCAGTACCTCCACAGCTCAGCTTTGATCTATGGGCAGTAGATTAAAGTTATCAGAGAGGCCACTTTGTCTAAAGCTCTTGCTCACGTTCAGAGTGTGGGCCCGTGAGCCGGAAGGCGGTGGTGTGGTAAAACGAGGAAGATTCATCTCCATGTCGGAGTCTCTAATTTGTGGAATGCTGCAGCGTCCACTTTCGCCTGTCACTACAAAGCCTGCGTCCATCACTCAGGTCGGAGTGAGCGAGAGCTGTAACAAATTTGACCCTGCAGCGTTTTCAGCGGCGCACAGCAGTATTTTCCAAGCGCTTCTGACAGACGGTCCTGGCCGATCAATGTTGAATGGCAGCTTTATTGCAAACAAATGCTGAGGCGCGTAGTAGAGCTGTGCCAATACTACGATTAATCGTTAATTGTATTTTTTCTACAAATTTGCATCAATATCAAAATGTTCATACCCATTGTTATAGATCACTCATTCAAAGGGTAATTCCATCAAAAACCTGCATAATTCAATTGCTTATATGTAAACAGTCATTCAGAGTAGTTTTCTGTGAAATGCTCCATTCTAGAGTCAGAATTGTTCACAGTATTGGTGACAGGAACCAGACATCTGACTAGTTTAATGTCTTTAAAAGCTCCCTAATAGAAAGTTATTACATGAAATGCTTATTAATACACTTTTTTGTGAAGGTTTTGGCCTAAAAATATATTTTTGTAAAATAAAAATGTCAGAAAGATACATGCAAGGAGGAAAGAGTCCCCTGAAAAAAAACTCACTGTCAGATTTAACACTAATTTACCATCAAAATTACATATAAAAACCATCATCATTACAAATAAAAACTCTGAGGAAAAGCATAGGTTCATTTTGGACATCAAACAAAACAGCTATGGTGCTGTTACAGACATTACGACCCCTGGTTCCAATCACCACCACTGTAAAGAAAATCTTCACATTAAACCACGCTGGACAACTTTGTTCACATCGCAACAATTGTATTATGCAAAATACAATCTTTATTGTGAGTGAGAAGTCAGGAGCCATCCAAATATCTTCAAGATGCTAAAAGGAAAATAAGAAAATGTATACAGAATACAAATATGTACGTTCTCTCTCTGGGTGAGGGACGGGGTTAGGGTATCTTTCTGGAGAGCCAAGTCAAACGTTCTCACAGGCCACACTTTGGGCAGCCCTGTATTAGACCAATGTCATAGATACACCCATTGCTCTGATAACATAATGGTAATGATGAGATCAATCTAACATAAGGTGTATTAAAAGATATTCAGGTGGATATCTGTAGATCGCAGTAGCCAGTCACTTCATCTACAGCAGGGTTCTTCAACTCTGGTCTTAGATGTCTGGTGTTCAGCAGAGTTTAGTTATTTCCCTGCTCAAATGTCAGATTTAACCCATCAGTTAAATGCCAGGTTTTGTGGGTGTGTTTGCTCTACAGTTTCTAAACTAATCCAGTTAGAAATATGGACAAAGTTTACTGTTATTGACAACCAAGGGTCTCATGGAGTAGACGTGAGTAATGATGTTCCTACCCTGCACCAAACCAGAACGAAATATTCTTGAAGCAAAACAATCTACATCCAGCCAGTATCCTATGAGCATTTACTCAGGCCACAAAACACACTGACCCAAACCTGCTAAGACAAACTGCATGTTGTAAAATTAAACCTTGATCCTGAATGTGCCAAAGTAATAAACAAATTAAGCTAAATTAAGTTCATCTGTAAAGATGTGACCTCATTTTTGTTCTTGGTTACAATGACTCAGAAACAAGTACGCCACTTGCCATTTTATTGCATACAGACACGACTGACCCAGAACCGCATAACAACCTCAAACAGTAATGAGGATGAATCTGAACACAATGATGACTCTAAACATACAGTGTATGGTAACTGCATGAACTATGTAGTAGCATATTGTGAATGGGATGGCAAACCATTAGGCTATTATGTATTTTCTACCAATTGCTGGAGATTTTTCCTTTCTAAGTCTCAGCTAGTATGTTTATTTTTAAATAATTATAATATTAATAATATTTGTTATGTATATAAAAATGTGCCGCCGCTTCACATGGATTGTGGGCACCCCTAAACAGACCCTTACCCTAGACACTCGCCCCATGCTGCTACTTTTCACACAAAAAACAGAGTCAAATTGCTTACACAACATTTAAAGAGCAACATCCTGACAAATGGAATTGTTTGGAGTTGCTAATAAGTCAGTTCCTGCATCCTTGGGGATGATGAATCAGTGAGGACACCTTTAAATGCAACACACTTCGTTTTTTAAAATAGAGTAAAAATACAGGCTAAAGGTCTTCTGTCGAGCGCGCCGTTTTAGCATTCCTGAGAGATTAGAGAACAGGACAGCCCTTGATCCTGGACTAAACAAAACATGCTCCATGGCAAAAAAGGGGCTAAATATATTCCCAGCCACTCTTATTCCACTACGAGGTCACTCACCTTTCCTGTAAGATGAGCTTATTCTCCTTCTTCCACAGGTCTTTGAAATCTGTGGAGAACTCGTGCCACACTGAGAAGAATGTGTGGGGTGAAACCTCTTTCTCTCCACTCTTGGCCTTCACGGAGAAGAATGCTGTCAATTCTAAGAACCTGAGAGACACACAAAAAAGGCAGAATTAAAAAAAAATAAATGTTCAACAGATTGTCCTTTGATCAGATGAATTCATATCAAAATATAGACAGGTAGGAAACAGTCTGGCCTAATATATTTCCAACATGTTGAAGGGCCCATATTGTACATTTTTACTGCATTTTATTTTTTTCCTCCTGAGGTCCACTTATGACATTCATGTGTGTTTATGTAACAAAAACACAAATAATTCATTATGTCATAAGCCATAATGTCCATTTTCAAACCTATTTTCATCCCTGTGCCTTTAAGCAAACATTTGCACACCTCTGGTCAGTTGACATGTTTTGTTGATTTTCTAAGTAAAAATTTAATTAACACATCCTCTACAGAGAGCACAGCTGAATATGACATTCTTCTGCAATTTTTAATGCACAATTTCTATGTATTTGAGTTTAAATTTGGGAAATAAACGTAAAAGTAATTGTGCATTATAATGTGCAGAAGTGTGTTCTCTGTAGAGAATATGTTCACTTATTTACACATAGAAAATCAACAAAATGTGACCAGGGGTGCTCAGACTTTTATATGACTGTATATGTAAACGACCTCTGTTCTGACTGGCTGACCTGTATGGTGCCAAGAAAAAAAAAAAAAGAAAAAGGCAGTCCAGCCTGAAACACTCCTTATGACTTCAGGGTGAGTGGGTGGAGCTAAACTGACAAAGCTGAACAGGTGGAAATATGCAAATGCATTGGTTTCCTCACAAAAACAAATTAATTCAAAAGAGAACTGGTGGAGAGAATGCTGAAATCTCAAAATATAACAATGTTTATATGGAACATCAAACTCAAATTAAAGAAAATGTCACATTTTCCAGGATAAGGGCCCTTTAATATTCTGAAACTCTGGGTAGAGTCACAAAAAAAAACACATTACCACCTATATAATTATGAGAAATTTTAGAACCGTCCTCTTTATTGCCTGTAGCAGTTACTGGCACACAGTGCCTCAAAAATAAACCCTGACCAGTACTTCACAGTTTACCATTAACAAAGTGCAAACATCCAAGTATGTGCTCAAATTCTGAATAAACTCAAATGAAATCTAAGCCACACTTTGGGGTTATGGGAGCGGCATTTTTGTCAGTAACTCAATTACTGCTGCTCTAATGTTTTGACTACATGTCAAATTTCATATAGCATGTGTTGCCCCAAGCGTTACACATAGCTTTGTCTGACTACTGGTGAGTTATATTTACCTCTTACTCGTTTCTCTCCCACGTTGAGCACTTTTTATACCTCTGTGAGAAACGGCAAGAAAAGCTGTTCCTTGAACTGTATGCTTGGACACTGGTGAAGGTTTAATTGAGCCAAATTGAGCAGACATTGCCTTTAAAAATAACTGCCAACAAGAAGAATGATGGCTGCAGACAGTTTGGCATTTCTGACACAAAGCTCTGGGCTGTAGATGTATTGGAAGGAGAATAAACAGGGGCAGACAAGATGAGGTGCTAGACCTACCTGACATCTTACTGTTTATTGTGATGGCCCATAAAATGTGTGCAACTGTACATTGACTCAACCCTTAATGTATTTTTCTGGTTGGAGTCTGTCTATATGGTATGTTTATACTGCTCCTGGATCCAGCTTTAACTCCAGCACACTGAAACTGACAACTTGACCAACATCATATGTTTTATCCCTCCTAATTTAGTGTTAAGAGCTGTTAATGTCCCAACAGTGAGGCTATTCAGTTTAGACCATTAGAAGAAGCAGTAAGCGCCTATACTTGCTTTCAAAATAATCATAATGATAAAAGCACCAGACAGGAATTTCTGAAATGGCGCCACAACTGACTGTCTACTGAATGTATGTTTTAGTACACTATATAATCTACTAGATGCTTTATTAATTAAAACCCATCGCACATGGAAGGAGACAGCATCTAGACTAATAAGACTGCCACCTCCCCACCTCTCCACCAGCTATTCACTATGACAGACGGTATAAGTCGTCTTGGAGTCCTCACATCCTGCTAACTACCTCTTTAAACAACTTCTCTCAAGCAAAGTCTGAAATACAGCACTGCCTGCCTGTTAAATAACCATCATCTTCCCATACTTGAATGGTGTTGCAGTTAAAGAAGGAAAGTGCACTTTACTCATGCATTTATTGCACTGTTTATTTTTATTGGCCCTTTTTTTTTAACTCAGATGACTCCAATTTCACATATTTTATAGTGCTATATACAGTAGTAGGGATGCATGGATTGGAATGGGCCCAGACCAGAATCAGCTGATGTTTGCTCCAAAACTAAAAATCTGTTTTTTTGCTTTCCATCCTGGTAATTTTATAAGGTAAAAACACAAGGCACTATAATTGGATCATCTTGCTACATCTGAACCAAAATGTCATGTCATAATTACGACCGACCGTATAGCCAGTTGCCTCTTACTTTCGATTTAGCACTTTGATTGATGTTACTTAAATACAGTGATTAAATAAACTGATTTTTCCCCCAAGTTAGAGTGTAAATAATGTTTTTGATATTGCTATGAGAAAGTACTTGACATTTGCTGGTAAGTTTCATGCTTTCATTTTGCTCACACAGTGTATTTGGGGTGGGGGGGTGTTGGGGGCATCAAAAAAAGGAAAACTAATACGGCTGCATATAAATCAGAATAGAAACTGGCCATTCTAACATTCAAAACAGCATTTTGGAATTAAACTGCACTGATGATACACCCCTCTTCCTCTTCCAAACGCCTCTCATTTAGCCTCTTTTCTGAAAACCACTGTCAGTGCACCCTATCAGAGTAAAGTGGGCAGGGAGGGGGTGAGGCCTATGTTACACACACACACACACACTCAAATGACTAGGCTAAAGGCTGTGATTCTTGGGGTTTATTTCATTAGGGGGCTTGTGTTTTAGACACTGAAAAAGTCTTAACGTGTATGTCAACCAGTGTAGTATATAATTTTAGTCTTGTAAAATAAAGACATCTACACTACAACAAAACTTGGAAATTTTGACTTCAGAATCAAATAAAAATGACATTGAACCTGAAAATGTGTACTACTGCATCACAATGTTCTTGTGTATTATTATATTAAGCATTATGTATATTAAGTATTTCTGTACTGTGTGGGGGTTTAAATTTTAATGAGAATAGACAAATATACTGCACTGTGCGAAAGTCAGCGACCAACTTTCATTTTGTTAATTCCCGGTTAAAATAGTTTGAAATTAAAGTTATTCTATTTCCAGGAGATATCCGAGGTGATTTGATATAAAATTACCTACTTGCACAAGAAAGGAAAGAGTCAAAGGAAAATAAGTGGAAAAAAATACGGGAGTTTCCAAAACTGGAGTTCAAAAAATGATCAAGACAAAGAAAATGGTGCAAGACCTGGCAGACCACCAAAACAATCCACATCAGATAAAGACCTGTGTGCAGAAAATTTGTACATTCACTGTGAGAAAACTCAGCGCTATGGGTCTGAAAGGATGTGTAGCTGTCAAGGAGCCCTCACTGAGAAAAGGAGACAGACAGAACAAACATTGCACTAGAACACCAAGACTGGACATCTAAAATGTGGAGGAAGGTTTAATGGGCTCATGAGTCCAAAATCAGTTTTCTGAAAAATGAATAACCAGTTCTGGATACCATTTTGACTGGAAATGAAATAAATTAAGGGTCATCTCTGACTTTTTCTGAAGTGTTGCACAGAGTGCCTATGTTTTCATGAGATGCACTGGGCCAAATTCCTCTTAGTTTTACTAATACAGCATGCACCTTGAACACTTGCTGCAGTCCTAAAAACTGGCTTTCAGTGGCACTCATTCTTATCGGTTTACAGCCATCACCCACCAGCAGAAAAGAAACGCTTAAGGTGAATAAAGTTCAGAAGTGAAGAGTTACTGAATGTATAAAATGTAATCTCAGTTGTGATCATGAAGTAAGAATCATCCTATTCATTGAGGGCCCGTCTCTTTGACCCCATAAATACAGAGGGTGGGTTTGTGTTTATGAGGATGGTACAGACATACCTACAGGAGTGGTTTCACTGATTTTAGGGTGAAGCTGCTGAAATCACTATATGCCTTCACACTGTATATTTATCCTCCAACTCTACTGCTTCTATTCAACTGAAATCTTTGGTATTTTTAAAGGAGTATTAGGTCAGCAGGAAAAGAAAACAAAACAAACAAAACAAAACAAAAAAAATCATATACCAGCTCATGTTTATGAATAGGCTGAGATGGTTAAAGAGGCACTCTGACCTAAAACAAACTAGTTTTAATAAAGTTTAATATGTTATTTATTGTGTTACTGCAGCATTTTGTTGCTAAGTATGACATCCCTCAGTCTCTGGTTTGACATGTTTCAAAACAAAACAAAAACAAAACAAAAATCTAATAGCCCACCCCCACAAATTCACCCCAAAGCAGTTTTTCAAATGTCCCTTCAACCTTCAAGATGCATCATCAGAAGGGGGTTTTCCCAGTCATTAAACCAGAAAATTTCACTCTAGAGATTACCACAGCACTGCTGTAAGAGTATCACAACAGGTTTAGAGACGGTTCATATATCTACCTTTAAACATTTGGAAATACTTGAGATTTTAAGGGTTTTTTTAAAAGCACCAAGCGTGAATAATACGTATGCACTGGTTGCAGAAATATTTTAGAATCAGAAAGATGGAGAAGAGAAAGACTGATGAAGGAATATCTATAGACAGCTAGAATTCATTGAACAGTGAGAACTAGAACTACCACAAGCAGCCAAGGACAGATGAAATCGCTTCTTACGTTTTGTGAGTTTCGCTGAGTTGGGTTTCCTGGGCCTCCAGCTCATTTTTAGCTGAAAAACAGACAAACACACAGAAAAGGCACTTTTAAAACAAAGCCTTCAAACCATAAAGAAAAGCAGTAATATCACAAAAAGCTCTGTGTAGAATTAAATGTAACACTAAAATTATATATAAAAAAAAATATATATATATATAAAATATTATATATATATATATATAAAATAAAATATTATATATATTTATAAAATATTAGTAGTCAAGTAATCAAGTAACTGAAAATGGACAATAATAAACCATACACAGCCTTAAAAAGATAATCAAGGTGCCTTTTAAAAAGACTTCAATACTACACATTTTATCAGACACCTAAGAACATCTTCCCACTCTTCCATCTATACATGCTAGCTATATGCTGAATAACAACCTAGCTATATGCTCAATAACAACTTTATTTAGTTATTTGCTAAATAACGTCATGATTTTTTTAATCAAATAGCAGTAAACGACCTCTGCAGGAGTACTGATAATATATTGTACTTCTTGGAACCAACTACTGGAGTTTAATGGAGTAATTGTGACAGAGTTAGAATAAGCAGCGTTTTTGTGAGTTTATATGCAGCGTGGGTGTGTTAATATTTCACTAATGCGGAGTGCGGCTCAGCGTAGCAGGACTTTATCTTCAGCTTGTCTGAATGAAGCCCCTTTGAAAGGCAGAGTTTAAAGTGGCGACGGAGAGCTTGGCTGGGCCTCACTGCGGAGTGTGTGCAGAAGGCTTTCACTGATAAACCGTTTACACCAGAGTGTGTTTTATTTCCCAGGCGTCTGGCTCGTGGCATGAGTGTTGAGTACTACAAAGGGGTGGGTGTGTGTGTGTGTGTGTATTCGCAGTGTTATGCATGTGTGCTTTACTTATACTAACAATGAGAGAGAAAAGTTGACAGTTGATTTGGTTGGTTTTTACGTCTTTACTACGACTTACATTAAAGACGCCTGCACGCGCTTGCACCCACACACGCGCAACACCACCGCAAAAAAAAATAAATAAATGATTTTAAATGATCACTTCTTATGGATGGCTCGTTATGATATATTTGGTATTTGGCTTGAACGTGTAACCACAGCACAGTTTAATCTTCCTTTGAAAACACAGGCTTTTTCTTTACTTCTGTGAAAAAGCTATTTGTAGATGATTAAAAGCTAAGTTTTGTATGTCACCAATAAGCTTGAACCTTAGACTGTCCAACATACCAGTGGCTCTCAAGCCAGTCCTCAGGGACCCCACATGGTCAATATTTTGCTCCAACCTATCTTAACACACTGTTGACTAAACACTGATGCAGTTGGCATAGCTCTTTTTAATTAAACCAACTAACGGCCCTAATGCTACAACCCACTGCACTTTAGAATAAACAAACTTCTGATATTTTCTGTAAGACAGTGACTGGCCATTCAGTTTTACATTTGTTTCCAAAGAGGAGGGAGCACTAGGCAGGTCAGTTGTAAGCTTTAAAAGCATCAGAAAACATTTTCTGAGGCAGACTGATGTCCAGCATAGCTCATCATCCTGAGACCTCTGAAGGTTCATGGAGCATCAGTAGTTGTTTCTTTGCTGACTTCAACACTGCTTACTTAATGTCATCATTAACAGAACCTCTCCTATAACTTTTTCTGACTGGTCCAAGGGTAAAACTGTTTGGAAGAACAGCCCGAAAATGTCAGACTGAATTCATGAAGGAAACTTCTTTTTGACTTCAGTCCTGATAAAATCTGAAACATTGGCATTTTGAATTTTACCACAGACAGAGCTTTTTCTTGGTGTTTTTTTCAGGATTTTATCCAATTTAGTCATGTCCAATTCTACGTGTTAAATAGATCGCCTTGGCATCACGTGATGCTACCAAGCTGAGTGAAGGGTGAAGGCTAACATTGGCTTCCTCTGAGACTGAAGTCCCACTATGTCTTTTCAGACTTCCACTAATGCAGTGTCAACAGCTCAACACACTCGGAGGAGAATATTAACTGCCAAATAGGTTATGTCAGCTAACAGACGATCACATTGGCTAGCATCGCGTTGAGTGATCAGAATTTCAGACCATGCTTCACACGATCATCCTACCCACTCAGAGCGAGCGAGAACAACTGGATGGATGGATGGATAGACAGATAGATAGACTGACAGACAGAGTTACTGATAGACAGACAGAGTTAGAGTGTTATAGGTAGACAGATAGAGTTAGTTTTATAGGTAGACAGATATATAGATAGATAGATAGATAGATAGATAGAGTTAGAGTGTTATAGATAGAGTTAGAGTGTTATAGGTAGGTAGATAGAGTTAGTTTTATAGGTAGACAGACAGACAGACAGACAGACAGACAGACAGACAGATAGATAGATAGATAGATAGATAGAGTTAGAGTGTTATAGATAGATAGAGTTAGAGTGTTATAGGATAGATAGAGTTAGAGTGTTATAGGTAGGTAGATAGAGTTAGTTTTATAGGTAGACAGACAGACAGACAGATAGATAAATAGATAGATAGATAGATAGATAGATAGATAGACAGAGAGTGTTATAAGTAGATAGATAGAGTTAGTTTTATAGGTAGACAGATAGATAGATAGATAGATAGAGTTAGAGTGTTATAGATAGACAGAGTTAGAGTGTTATAGGTAGGTAGGCAGATAGATAGTAGATAGAGTTAGTGTTACAGATCAATAGATATATAGATAGATAGATATATAGACAGAGTTAGTGTTATAGGTAGATAGGTAAATAGAGTTAGTGTTACTGATAGATAGATAGACAGAGTTAGAGTGTTATTGATAATCGTATCTCCATTTTTGACGTTTTTCAGTTTTTGACATAATTTAAAGATACCTGTTGTCCTTTACATTGTTTGTAAATTGCATGATGAATGGACTAAAATAAATGACCTAAAATGACTCGGAAAAAAGTCTGGTTTCATTGACTTACATTGAAAGTAACGCAGGTTTTTTCCTTCTCCTGTAAAGTTATCATCTTGGAGATACAAGGTTTTCTTCCAAAAACAGTGATATATTGGTAGTGAAATAAAGTGTCTAGGTGTGGAGTGTCCAGATGCAAGATGTGCGATAAGGTATGCAGAAGTGCAATATGTACAGTAAGGTGTCCATTGTGATGTCCAGGATTCCACAGTGGCATCGCTGGGAATCGAACGCTCAATTTCCTGATGATAGGACCAACGACAGGACACGACAGCGCCACTCAGGAACCGTATTCATTCATTTTGACGTATGTATTTTACTGAAGTGTGTGCACCCCACCACCTACTGGGGCATTTATTTTTATGACCTAGCAATTACATCAATTAAGGCTTGTATTAGAAACAGAAATCACAGCCATGCCTGCTGAAACAAGCAAGAATTTCACACCATGCCTCTGTGATCAGAAAAAGCCGTCATACATCACATTCACAGCTCTCAGTGAACTACGCTCCTGTTTTTCCTCTGTAGTGACGCACTCATCATAACTGCCCGGCAAAGACGATCAAACACTGCAGAGAGAGAGCGAGGCTCTGATTTACAGCCTGCCTTCTCCGAAAATATCAAATCATTGAGTGTGTGTGCAGTCAGATCCACTTCACAGACGTCCCGACTCGTCACACAGGAAGATCTACAGCTCCCGACACTAAATCTTTCGATTCATCTTCGCGCATGTGGTACCAATTGCATTTGACTTGATATTCAGACTATGCATAGAACATGCTGGAGCTAACTGCTCATCGCCATCCAACTGAATGACTTTATGGGACTACTTGCTGTTTTCAATTGTCTTTGAATCGATTTCCAATACATTTGTTGCTGTTTTTCAGTTCCGCTTAGAACAATGTTATCTGTTAACGCCTGCATGCTCAAACACTCTTCCTGGAACTGTTTGAGATCATGGAAAATGATGGATTCAATAAAAAGGTGCTAAAACAAAGCTCTCTCTAAACCTGACTACAAAAAATAAATACAGAAAATTAAATTAAAATACAAAATTGCATAAAGAAAAAGAAAAATCCAGCTGGAAGTATTGCATTACTGGTCAATACATACAAGAACCATACTTTACTGCAAATGGAAGAAAAAAACGTTTTGATGTTCAAGAATTCCTCTGCACACAAGAATGCATGCAAGAGTAAAAGGAGTTTTAAAAAAAAAGTAAGGAGAGAGGGAGAAATAAAAGGCGCTTGCAGACATAACAGAGGCGTCTGCTTTCACTTCTCCACCATGACCCGTTTCATGCTTGTGTAATAACACCCGTTGACAGTGCGGAGCCCCACGTCTGAGCTTTACCCAATACACTACAAATAACAACAATGGCCGCTATATGGAATTAACTGTCAAGTGTGTCTGGTAGGGTTTTTTCCCCCCAGCACTGGAGCCTCATGGCCCCGAACTTCAAACAGCACTGCCAAACCCCGCTGTCGCCCAGACGGAGAACACGGAAACATGTGCAAGAGTTTACAGCCTGTTTGAATATTAAAAAAGGAAAAAAAAAAAAAATGAATGAGTGCATAATCGTACGTCTCTGTGAAGCATCACTCGCACTCTTGCTCTCTTTATTTGTCTTTGCAAGGAGTTATTCCATCAGTCAAAGCAAAAAAACAAATAGTTATAAATTGAAAAACAAAGAGGAATGCGAGCGGAGCAGGATGTTTGGAGGTGTATAAAGAGGGCTATCGTCATTTCATGCTGTAGCTCTTCAGAAAGCTGCATGGATGAAAATATTCAGAAACCATTCACCTGAAGGCTGAGTGATAAGGGAAAAAATACTGATACATGCACTCTATATAAAATATTTATATATATGAATGATACTTAATTTTTAAGCATTGTGAACTAATCGGAAAAGACAAAATGCACCAGTAATGCAGTGTCATAGTAACACAGTGCATATGTGGAAACTAAGCAGCAAAAACAGCAATTTTGAATTTATTGTTTGTGATGTCACAAATACCAGCACATTTGCATATATCCACCTATTCAACCAAGAGCACTTTTGCCCAACCCACTGATGTAAAAAC